TCTACATTAATGCGCAGTGAAGAATGGCCATTGCCGAAACGTTGCCCATTACATAAATTTGTTGTTTATTTTATGGCCATATACACACCGTTATTGTTGAACGTGTGGAGTGTTTTTGTTTGTTTGCTAACACATCGGACGGCTGCGATTCACAGCTCTTGTCGACCTGCTGCTGGATGAAGGTGTCCCCATGCCATATGGGTCCGCAGGGTCCCGTCGACCGTACTTCACCCACGGCGGTCATTGCCCGGGGTACAACAAAGGGATGGGAAGAGTCTGTACAGCAGTTAAACTTGTAGCTATTCGGCGCAGAAAAAACCCAAAAAACAATCTAACGTTAATCAATCAGTCACATCAGTCTTTATTTGAACGTGCCAATATCACCCTCAATAAAATGGGCACCAGTGTCCATTACAGCAGCACGGAAACGCTACACTGGGGGCATGGAGCAACAGGAATCTATATATATAAAATCGTGAATCTGTCTGTCTGTCTGTGTGTCTGTGTGTCGCCGGACCATACGCACTTTCATTGGACGGGGTTGCCCCTGCCAACGGGTAGCGACGCCTTCGCCGCTTTCATTGGAAGTCGGTTGCCCCTGGCAACGGGTAGCGACGCCTTTGCCGCGGGCTGCAGTTTCATTGGACGGCGGTTGGCCCTGGCAACGGGTAGCCACGCCTTCGCCGCTTTCATTGGACGGCGGTTGCCCCTGCCAACGGGTGGCGACGCCTTCGCCAAAGGGTGGACGCCATTTTTTTTTACCGTTAAAAATAGGCGCACGCATTAACACGCGACTCTGACGTTAATTCATCACAGTTTCACGTCCTCTTCACTCCCCTCCCACCCCAATGTGTTCTATTACTATTATAGGCTCTGTACATAATAAAATAATAGCGATTAGACACTATTATTGTAGCGCGGGGGGGGGGGGGGGGCACGCCACCCGTACCCTGCCTCTGCCGGGTGGCCAATTTAGGCGAGGCCGGAGGTTCTGCACGCTACTAGGCCTCGACACCCACCACGCCACTCTGAGGTAAATTCATCAAAGTTTCACGTACTCTTCACTCCCCCCCCCCCCCAACACAATGTGTGCAATTCATATTACTTTTAAACCCAACGCGCCAAGAATCTATTCTTTAAATGGTGACTGTACAAATAGTCATTAAGCTGGGTGAGCGTACTGACAGTCTATAATGTATACTGTAGCCTGCTTATTAAATTGCCTGAGTCTACTGGCAGTGTATTATGTAGACTGTAGCCTGCTTATTAAGCTCGGTGAGCGTACTGCCACTCTATCATGTACACTGCAGCCTGCTTATTCAGCTGGCTGCGTGTACTGGCAGTCTATAATGTACACTGTAGCCTGGCTATGAAGTAAAGTTAGTCAATTTGTAACACGTACGCCGATTCCCACTCACGGCCACCACCGGTGACGATTATTTCAACCCGACCTGGGCCTCCCCTAGGTAGACTCAGCCTCAAACGCGTAACTGGTGTCGTGTGTGACCATCGTCACTGGGGAGACAAAGGCGGCCGGGCGTCGTGGATCCAAGACCCGGGCGAAGCCGGGTAGTCAATCTAGTTAGAAAATAAAAAAATCCGTCCCGACCTCGGCAGATAACATCTCGCCAACGTGGCACCCCCTCTCTCGCCACCGTGGCAGCTTTGGCTGGGAATCAAACTCGGTTTTCTCTGGATTCATAGCACAGCACACTGACCACTCACACCACCACTACTACCACCACTTCACTCCACCCCCTTAAGCATCTCTAGTCTGAGGCTGGGCAGCCGGTCGCTTGTTCGTGACTTATTTACTAATAGCTCGCGCTGACAGAAGCCAAATAATCATGAAATTAACTAAGCATACCCCCTAATTGTCCTCATGCTCTGCTAATGCATGGCGTACAGTCCGCGACAAGCAGGAGGTCTCAACAGTGCTGCGACGACCCAAATGAATGATTTCACTCGTGATATTATGACCGAACAGCCTACCAACATTCACGAGCTTTGTTGGCCTTGTGATTTTACAAACACTGTGCACGGTGGTGTGTGTGCTCTTTGAACAAATGTAGTGACTTGACTTGGAGACGTAAGTTCTTGGAGGCAGTTCTTTAATTAACACCAAGCACATTTTGTACAATACATACCCTACACTGTTAACACACTCCTCTGTCTCTCGCTGGTTGCTAGCCTATGATGGCGCTGAACTAAGACGGCCAACTACCGTCTAGCAGTGCAATATCAAGTGATGACGACAGCGATGAAGGCGGCAAGACAACAGCGATGATGGTGAAGATCTTCAGCAGCAACGACGGGGATTCCACTCCAAACAACAGCCCCGAGGTCTCCTCCCGGGACCCCTCTTATACTATCAGCATAGCCTGGCTCCACCCCAGCCACGCCCCCTTCTGGAACCTTCTAACGACAAAATGGCGGTCACCCGCTGTGCCGCACCCATGGCAGACAAAATGGCGGCCGCCCGTGTAGGCGGGAACTCCGCAGTTTCCCGTGCTGGTGTGGCGGCGCAAATCGAGCCGTCTGCCCGCTGTTCCCGCACTGCACCATCTCTGGCAGGCGTCGCAGATCCGAGCACTGGTGCGGCGGCGAAAATCGAGCCGTCCGCCCGCTGTTCCCGCGCTGCGGCATTTCCGGCAGGAATCGCGGATCTGAGCTGGATGACGAGCTCTGCTGCGACAGAAAGCAGCTCGGAAGGGCGTTAGGCAAGGTCGCGCCACCACTCTCCGACCGGAGGTTGCAAGGGGCCGACATCCCTGTTCCACTGTTTTGCTGCTTCTCCGTCCCAGGACGCATCATCGGAGTCCCGGATTCCGGGGCTCTCGAGGGGGCCGCATCCCCGTCGTCGACGTCTCCTGAAGACACTATCGGTGGGTTATTTCTCTTGGCTGACGAATTTTCTTTTCTTTATCTCTTCAACACTTCTGACTCAGAGACACTAAGAGTAGGATTGTTTATTAATAGCCTTAACAGTTCACACTTAGTAACTATATTTCCCAGTCAGGACAGCTGGCAAACTGCCTGACTGGGGACGCCGAGATGTTGAAGACGGTGACGGCGACGAAGACTCCAGCACGACGGGATCCCACTCCAAACGACAGCCCCGAGGAGGTCCCCTCCCGGGACCCCTCTTATACTGTCAGCGTAGCCTGGCTCCGCCTTGGCCACGTCCCCTTATGCAACCTTCTAGCGGGTTCCCAATGTGCTCCTTCCGTAACCTTTCCCATAGATCCCTCTCGGGTCTATCACGTGGCCTGCTGTCATTCAGGGCTGCTATAAGCTGCAGATCCCCTTCCCTGCCAGCAGCTAGTGCTATGCTACTACGTGACCGATTCGATGTCACTACACAAAGATACAGTTTCACCACCCACACCACTTCCGCACCATCCAGACCACCACACCACTTGCACCATCACACCACCTAAAACCACCCACCCCACCATATAGCCGTAACAGACTGTAGGAGCAAACGCTGTTAGCGAGCACCTTTCAAGGTCAGAATGGCACACGAGAGGGTGGGTGCCCAGCACCACGCCCGGCCGCCTTTGTCTCCCGAGTAGTGATGTTTACACACCGCACCAGGTACTCATTTAAAGGTTGATTCGACCTAGGGGAGGCCCAGCACCGGTTCAAATAATCATCACTGGTGTTGAGCAGAAAACTCGGGTCGCGCGGTTCGGAGCGCAGCGCGTTAACCACTACACTATCCACCCCACTGCACCACCGGCAACACGCACATCACCCACACACCGCACCACCAGTCCATTGTTACCATGTCCTCATGATACGGACGCGCGTGCACGCGCGCGCTTCATGGCACGGAACGGGACACTCCCCCAAATCCGCGAGTGTCGTTCAAGGCAGCTCTTTAATTTCCGTATCAAACGCGGGGGGAGGGGGTCACGGGTGAACCGCTGGGTGTGAGGAGGATTCCTCCGTCGGAGCCCGGGGAAGACCACGTAAGCAAGTGACACGGTTCCGCGGTTCGAGTCCTGGCAGCCGACTATGGCTAATACTGCCGGATGTATTAACCGTTACGAATAAATACATAAATACATAAGTACTCACTCTGCATGCTTTTACATTGGATGGTGAAGATCCCGGTAACGTTATTCAAAGAAGTGTAGCCACGCATGTTGGCGTCTCGGTCAAAATTCGACAATATTTGAAAACCAGTCCCTAAAAGCCCCACAACGTGACCTATTACACTCACACAATATACGTGTTTCCCTTTGAAGGCGTTGTTAATAACGAATGTCGCATTGTTGTTGCGTTTGTGCACCACTGCCAACGCAAGTGGCAGCGTCGCCAAATGAATCTGTTCGCTCGTGGATCAAGTCTCGGAGAAACGTCCCTTCACTGCCCACCGCTCTGAGAATGTGAAGTCTCACTGGTCGCTCCAATTGTCTATCAAACACAGCACCTAATTAATGTTGGAGGAATCCGATGAGCTACGAAGCTAATTTTTCATAGATGTCCAGTAAAGGTGGGTCAGAACGTTACAACAACAAGCAATGCAAAAAACACGGTAGGAGTCCAAAGTATAGGAAAGGTAAACACATCACTTAAAAAAATACACAAAACTTACCAGGTAAAGCCCACTGAAGTTTTAACGTATTTTTCAAAAGGGACCTACCTGGCCACAAATGATAGCTCAAGAATGTGGCTTATGTTGAAATGTAAAACAGCTAAATAATCAGCATGCAAGTTTCTAAATGTGGAGGGAAAAACCGGAGGACCCGGAGAAAAAAATCCACACTACCATGGGGGAAGAGATACGCAAACTCCAAATATACAGCAGGCGTCAGGGTCGCGATTGAACCTCCGACCTCCTGCATACCAGGTGTGGAAGATAACATCACAACCACCGTCACGTCCCTTACATAAATACGTGAAACGTATACAAGTTAACATTATGTGACTTACCCAAGCTTGGGAAAGGAAATAAATACCAAACATACGGACGATCTCGTTTGTAGTTGGACCGCACCCACCTTCTCGTCGTCGTCGCTGAATGGCGCCCATCCCGGTGTCTTGTTGATGGCTTGGGCCACTCCGATCACCTGCCCGTCGCTGTCGTGGATGGGCATGCAGAGGAGAGACTTAGTCTTGTAGCCCGTCAGCTTGTCCATCTCGTTGCTGAATCGCCGGTCCTTTGGCGAGACACGCGAAGCAATGACAAAGATGCCCCCACTCCGCTCGTGTACCCTTTACTGGGAAGGCAAGGGGCAAGTGCCAGTCGTGTAATGAGCGTGGGGGACCCAGGGATGCCTTGCCCCCTCGCCCACACCTGGTGGCCAAAGCTACGAGTTGAGGCCCTCTTCACAACCACCATTAAACATGTTTTCAACAACAGTTATAAAAGAACAACTTCTTTAAAACGCGGTATAATTTTTCTTTTAAAGAAAGCGCTTTCATTTACGTTCCACGTTGCATTTTTTTGTTTATTACAATTACAGCGGTAACATTTGACATCCGCAAAATTGGGGGCCCCACCTGACCGACTGCCACACCCCTTGAGCTGATAATTATGTCATCACTGCGCTACTGGCAAGTGCTGTCGGCCGAGAAAACTTCCAAGGCCTGACGCCGGTGCAGGATGGGGGTGATGTGGCCCTGTGTTGTGAAGGGCCACCCTTTTTCAGTCTCTCTGATGATGATGTTTGCATACCGCACCGGGTGCTCACTTCAGTCGGAATCGAACGAGGGAAGTGCCCCAAACTGGTTCTGATATCGCTCGGCACTGATTGTAGCCATGGCCGGAAATCGAACTGAGGTTGCCGAGTTCGTATTGCAGCACGCAAACCATTTCGCCACCGCTGCGCAAACACAAGAGTACACACGTGAACAAAGGTAAAGATCCACCGTATAGCCTTAACAGGCTGTTAGGGCAAGTGCTGTTACACATATGAACACACACACACGCATGCACACAATTGACATGCACACACGTGCATACGCACAGACACACACATGTAAATACGAAGATTACCTAACTAGCTTTATGCCCATAGGGCATCATTCCCATTCAGACGATTGCTTATTTTCATCAGGTACAAAATTGGCATTTTCTCCATGGGTGGCATTAGTGCTCTCTTTAATTGATGGCGACTAATCAGTGGTGAAATGTCCACGTTACGATGACAGGGGAAAGTCCATCCGCTGGATACAAATTTTTATTTTATCTTCAACAATAACGCAATACGTGCAGATAAAAAATGGCGATGCGCGTGACACTGCTCTTGAAGTTGGAGTGCAGCGGTGGCGTGGGCTCAGAGATGTGGGTGGAGGAGAGAAAACCCGCGCAGCCACTGCCGCCGCTACGGCTATTGGCGCCCACACAACGAGCCGAGGAAGTGCCTTAGAGGAACGACGTCAGCCTGGCCTGGCATCGTTGAACGCGACGCACCGGAGGTTGGAAGCCAAAAGCCGCGCTCGACGGAGTCTCGAGGCGCTCGGCGCGTGGCCCGCCCGGCTCCCGGGCAAAGCGCGCCTTGTTATCTGGGTCAGAGAAAGGAGGCCAGAACGACCCCAGCCTCTAGACCCTGACGTTGACATTAAACAGGCACCTTCTAGCTGAGTACCAACACTACTGCCACCGCCAAACGCCCACCGTCACTACCACCACAGCCAGCGCCGTGTATGTTGAACTTATTTCGCACAACGTACGTAGCCAAGCATGCCAATCGGAGGTGCAGGGGGAAAGACAACCAACTCAACACAAAAAAGCGGTATTGTGTTGAACTTTATTGACAGTGGACAGCACAGTTCTGATAAGAAAACCGAATGCTGTCAACGATATGTCCAATGGATAATTGGTCTACAGCTGAAAAGGTGGCAACTGTGCCTTACAGGGAACTCTGTTCTCAGCGATACCGTGATAATGAAAAAATAAAATAATCATGAGGTTGGGGCACGTACAGAAATTGCGAATATTTTACGCAATTACACTAAGCCGCACCTAACAAAGAGACTCCACTCTCTTAATGACCGCCAACTATTCGACTCTCAAAGACACTCGGCTGGCACTTGCACGCGCCACAGAGAGAAATCTGTTCGGACACCGCGTGCATGCATGCGGGCGGGCGCCTAGGCAGACGAGTGCAGTCGCCTGGCAGAGTCAGGAAACAAATTAAAATGTTATTTAAAAAGATTGGCGCGAGGCCACGCAGGGAAAAAACGAGAATTATAGCGCGATGACCCACGGGCTGGAACATGATTGATAAGCGAGTCGTCATTGCGACCTTGAGACGGGTTGAGTGCGAGCCGAGTGCTTTGGCTGTGAGTTTCCCATTGGACAAGTGCTAAATCACCCTCGAACCCTGTTCACCGATGTTTGATGTGGTTTATTTTATATATCTGTATACATTTTTTTAAAGCCGTGGTTCCCAGCAGCTGAAATTATAGTTATCTCGCCGTGGCGAGATGTTAATTACCTCGCTTGGTATACAGGAGGTCGGGGGTTCGATCCCGACCCTGACGCCTGCTGTATATATGTAGTTTGCGTGACTCCGTAGTTAAGTGGATTTTCTCCAGGTCCTCCAGTTTTTCCCTCCACAATTAGAATCTACACGCGTTTAGAATATGTAGCTGCTATAACATTTCCACATGATAAGCCACTTTGTTGAACTATCATTTGTGAATGCCAGGTCGCTTCTGAAAAAGAGCTATATGCATTCATATATATTTTTTCGAGTAAAAACTCGCCCCGACTAAAGAGGGAATAGCAACACTTTAAAGTATGAATTCAATGAAGGTAGTCCTACCTACACAATCAAGACATATATAAACATATCAAAATGAAGGAATACACTCAAAGGAACATTTAAAAGGAAAAAATTAAGTCTTGCATAGTTTCCCGAACTGTTCGGTGCTCGGAGCCAATCTTAGGGGCTGGTGGAAGAGAGTTCTACATCTTAGGCGCCACACTCGAGAAGGTCCGTACTACCGCCCAGCGTAGAATGAAAAATTCTAGGTTGTGCTAGCAGGGCCTGGCCTGAGGAGCGCAAGGTGTGAATCTACCAGACGTTTGGGGTGCCAGACGGGACTGCAGGTACTGAGGAACAAGGCTGTTTTGAGCTTTGTAAGTTAGTACAGTTCACTTAAATTGTACGCGATAGCTGGCTGGTAGCCAGCGCAGATCACGGAGGATTGGTTTTATGCGCTCGAAACGGCTCGGACGTCTTAAGCACGTGGGCAGCCGCAATCTGCACCAGCTGCAGTTTCCGAATCAATTCACGAGGCAGCTCAGTATACAAAGCATTTCCGTAATCCAGACGCGTTGACACAAAGGCGTGAACTACTGTTTCGAGATCCCGAGTGGATAAGAGGGGTCGCAGCCCTCGATGCACTCGTAGGTGATAGAACCTCGCTTTGGCCACACAGCTGCAACCTGAAGGTGCGTGGTCAAGCTACGATCGACCGGTACACGTAGGTTGTGCGCCACTCCGTGAATTAATGGAGGCACAAGCTCCCCCCTGTCCCATCCTCAGCCGACTCTCTGAACCTACACTCATCAGCTCCGTCTTGTCAGAATTAAGCCTTAGCGAGTTTTGCTGCATCCATGCAGCTACCTCTGCCAGACGGTCTCTTAAGCAGGCGACAGCTACATCTTGGTCACCCGAGAAGGAGACATATCTGGGTGCCATCGACGTAATGATGGCACTGGAACCAGTGCCTCTGGATAATACGGTAAGGGGAGGGAGAATCGAGAGACACATGGGGACCCAATGCCACCTGCTGGGTCCTGCCCTGCAGAAAAGATCCAGTCCACTGCAAGGCGGTGCCTCCGATTCCTGCCAGGTCCCGTAGGCACCGCAAAAAAACCCCATGATCAATTGTATCAAAGAGGTGAAATACAGTCCCTGTCCATCGCCATGAGGACATCGTCTGCCACGCAAACCAAGGCGGACTCGGTGGGCTTCACCTGGTAAAATAAAAAATAAAATAGTTAAACTAAGTGTATATAGAAGGCGCATAAACTGTAGTGCAAATGATGACGATCCGGTGGTTAGCACGCACGTGACACACCCGCGATTCCCAGCCGTGGCTAACGTTCGCGGCGAGTGATATCTAAAACCGGTCCTGTGGTGCCATGACACTTCAACCTGCACCGACCCACGTGGTGAAGTATGGTCAAATAACCCCAACGAAGGGCACACTAATAGTGTCATGGTGATTATGATAATTACGTGACAAAGAGCTAAACATTGTTCTGGCTCGTAATCTCGATAACTGTATAATGCAATACATAATTTTATAACACTTCGTGGTCATTGCATCACGCCAGGAGAGGAAGAGCCCCTCCGGGGCGACGCAACCCCTCCGTGTTTGAGGGCGGTCCCACGCGCACAGGAAGAGGAGAATATAGTGACCTCTGCATAAATTCTGAAAAAGAAAATGCTCATGAGCTGCCTCGAAACTGTCGCGGCTGTTGGTTCCTTTTAATGTCGTTGTGTCAGCAGCTGTGGGTGTGAGGAGGAGTCTCCGTAGCTGTCTCTGGGTGTCTGCAGCTCCTTCCCCCCTGGCTGTCCACAGAGCTGCCTCTGCCTTCTGCTCAAATCCACACTCACGGGGTTTCCTATCCTCTTCCTCTTTATGCTCCTCATCCTCCTCTGCTTACAAGCTGCATTGTATCTGTACCCCGAACCTAATGGTATGTTCCTTGTGGTGTAATTTCTGATTTCTCCCCGTGTCCCTGAATCACTCTCCCAACCTCGAAAGAGGCTGCCCATTGTGTGCAACGCCTACGTTTCTCCGTATCGTGCACGGTCCCTCCGCTCCACATCGCACTGGTCTGGTCCAGCTCAGCGTGGCGTAGCTTGGGCGGCATGGGTCCTGGTGCAAGGAATGAAATTGTGGGAGAGAGCTGTGTACATGCCGTCTCCCCCCCCCCCCCTTCTTCGGCCTGTGGGCCCTGGTGCACTGTCTGGACACTCGATGGCTACGCTACTGATCCTTCTGTGTAATTCTCCTCTCTACCGATAATCGGAATTATCCACCCCCGTTCAGTCCGAAGCTTCTCCCCTGCAGTGTGTAGCAGCTTGAGATGCATTTCATCTGGAAGATTGCAATAGGGGATAGGCTTCAGGCTGCATGGGTGGTAGAGAAATTGTTGGTCTTGAGATGCTCAAACTATTATTTAAATGGACAG